CAATCTGAACACTGTGTATACTGTGATCAGTATCAGGTATTACCTGAGCACTGTGTACACTGTGATTATTGTCAGGTACAACTGAACACTGTAAACACTGTAATCAGTATCAGGTACAACCTGAACACTGTAATCGGTATCCGGTACAGCCTGCACAATGTGTACACTGTGATCAGTATCAGGTACAACCTGAACACTGTGTACACTGTGATCAGTATCAGGCACAACCTGAACACTGTGTACACTGTGATCAGTATCCGGTACAATCTGAACACTGTTAACACTGTGATCAGTATCCGGTACAATCTGAACACTGTTAACACTGTGATCAGTATCAGGTACAACCTGAACACTGTAATCAGTACCAGGTACAACCTGAACACTGTAATCAGTATCAGGTACAACCTGAACACTGTAATCAGTATCAGGTACAACCTGAACAATGAGTACACTGTAATCAGTATCAGGTACAACCTGAACACTGTGTACACTGTGATCAGTATCAGGTACAATCTGAACACTGTGTTCACTGTGATCAGTATCAGGTACAACCTGAACACTATGAACACTGTAATCAGTATCAGGCACAACCTGAACACTGTGTACACTGTGATTAGTATCAGGTACAACCTGAACACTGTGTTCACTGTGATCAGTATCAGGTACAACCTGAACACTGTGTTCACTGTGATCAGTATCAGGTACAACCTGAACACTGTGTACACTGTGAACAGTATCAGGTACAACCTGAACACTGTGTTCACTGTGATCAGTATCAGGTACAACCTGAACACTGTGAACACTGTAATCAGTATCAGGCACAATCTGAACACTGTGTACACTGTGATCTGTATCATGTACAAGCTGAACACTGTCTACACTGTGATCAGTATTAGGTGCACTGTGAACACTGTAATCAGTATCAGGTACAACCTGAACACTGTAATCAGTACCAGGTACAACCTGAACACTGTAATCAGTATCAGGTACAACCTGAACAATGAGTAAACTGTAATCAGTATCAGGTACAACCTGAACACTGTAATCAGTATCAGGTACAACCTGAACACTGTGTACACTGTGATCAGTATCAGGTACAACCTGAACACTGTAATCAGTATCAGGTACAACCTGAACAATGAGTACACTGTAATCAGTATCAGGTACAACCTGAACACTGTGTAACTGTGATCAGTATCAGGTACAATCTGAACACTGTGTATACTGTGAT